GTCTTTTTGTCTATCTAGGTGTCTGTCTGTCTGTCTTTTTGTCTATCTAGGTGTCTGTCTGTCCGTCTTTTTGTCTATCTAGGTGTCTGTCTGTTTGTCTATCTAGGTGTCTGTCTGTTTGTCTATCTAGGTGTCTGTCTGTCTATCTAGGTGTCTGTTCGTCTTTTTGTCTATCTAGGTGTCTGTCTGTTTGTCTATCTAGGTCTGTCTGTCTGAAAGAATCACATGTACACTCAAATGAACACAAACAGGCGTCTTTAGTTCTTTATATTTCTACACATTGATGATAAACACTGTTCAGTCTCTAATACACACTCAGTATATTTACTCTTCTGAATGCTTAAAACACATATTGTGTGTGTGTGTGCATGCATGCGCATGCATATGTGTGTGTGTGTGTGTGTGCGTTTCAGTGGCAGGAAACAGAGACAAGACACAGCCCTCAGCTCAGGCAAAAAAAAAAAGACTTTCACTGGTGGTTTCCATGGAAACTGTCTCCCTTTCACATTAAGAGGGAGGGCAAAGCGACTAGCAGAGTTAGGCCAACATTTAAAGTGGCTCGCTGACTGGGCGGGGGAAATTTAAGGTGGTTTGAGGAAGTGAGAATCTGTCCGTCTTCTCCGCAGCAGGGATAAGAAGGGTCATAGGAGGTAATCACCGCGCTGAGCCGACGATAATGCCGCCTGGAGATAATTGAGGTGTGCACGCCTTTCACCCTGGGCTGCACAGTCAGCGCGCTCAGCTGCCAAGATACACACATGGATTATTGATATCAAGATTACAGATCTGTCCATAATTACATTAAAGCATGAGGGGTATTACTGTAATATCACTGTCAGGCAGAGCAAATGACTGTAAGAATAATGGGGCGGAGGATTTGTGTGTCGGCGTTTTGGTTTATCACACGCTGCGTTTAATCCCACTTCGAAGAAATGTTTTCTTTTAGATTGCTTTGAAATGAAGTCTGGTTTTTAATAATTTCCTAGAACATTTCTAAGAAGCATCCAGGGATTAGCAACTAATTGTCCTAAACATGAGAAATAATAGTAAGGAAGCTAAGAATAACTTTTAGATCTGATTATTGAGCATATGGATTAAATGCAACCAAACAAATAAAAATGTATAAATAAACACAAGCTTTTCTGTCTTTGCCTTTTATTATTACTAAATTACATATTTAAAACCAGACACCTTTAATATCCAGTACACTTATTACTTTCTACAGATCATAGTTTTTGAGTAACTAAATGTTAAAATGCTCAAATAGGACACGTTTCTTTTAAAACAAGCCATTTAAACCAAAGATTTTAAACTTGCTTTAGTTCAATATTTGTGTGTTTTTGACTGAGATCTGTGTTTGTGTGACCCCACTGTTGAAAATTAACTTGTACATCACACAAATTAGTGTTCAAATGACAACGAAGCTCAAACGTTTCACCTTTTTTTTTTAAAGGATTTTAGCTTCACATTTCTCAGTTTTTAGACACTTTTCTTAAATACAAAACTTATAGCTTATAAGCTATAAGCTTATACAAAGCTTACCTGTCTAAATAAAGGTTGAATGAATGAATGAATGAATTTAATGAAATGAGTCTGAATGGGAATGACCATTCAGCAGTTGAGGAAGTTGAGGAACCAACAGCACTTTGGTTGGCCTTGTTGCTGTTTTAAGTGCTATATAAATAAATTGGTATGGTATGGTATGGTATTTCTTTCTGCATCAAAACAATTCAAATAAAATGTTCATTGTTAATTTTCCAGTGCGAAGCTTGAAATGTGGACTTGTGGTCAGTGTAGTCAGGAGGAATGTTGTTGTGTCTTCCCCCCCCCCTTCAAGGCTGTGTGCATCTGTGTGTGCTTTTGTGTAATTGTGTTTCCTTAATAAGCTGAGGGTCAAACTGAGTCCTTGATGACTCACTGTTGGTCTTTTTCAGCCTGTATGACACATCAGATTTGTCCACCCACATTCTATATTTTTAATAAACTTTTAAAGACAGATTCAGATAGCTGCATGAGGAAAGTAACGTGAAGGAATGATGATTATAAACAATACATGCTTTTTTTTTTAAGTGGGCAGGCAGACTAGGTGCTAAAACAAACATCTAAACATAACCAGAGAAATTGCATTTCCTGCAAAAATGCAGTGTGGATGCTTTTTGTAGAAGAACTTGCTGAAAAACATCTGAAATTAGCAACAAAAAAAAGCATGCTGAAATGTAGCTGAAATGGAAGAACAAGCCTACATTAGCAGAAGAAAACAGAAAAAAAACAGTATTAACTGGATTAGGTTTAAATAAGCAGAAATGAGCACAAAATTATGAAATCAGCTCAAAAAAAGCTGAAATTAGCAACAACAACAAAAAGTAGCTGAAAAGGCAGACATAAGCTTAACCTATCAGAAGGAAGTGGAAAGCTCTGAAAAGAGTTCAAAGAATGTAAAATTAGCTGAAAAGGCTAAAATTAGCATAAAAACAGCTAAATAGTAGCTGAAATAGTAGAAAAAGCTGAAATTAGCAGAGAAAATTGAAAGGAGCATTACAAGCTGAAATGAGCAGAAATACGTTAATTAGTCTGAAATAGCAGAAATTACCAAGAAAAACTTGAATTTATCTGAAAACAGATGAAATTAGCTAAACTAATGTTAAAAAAAGAAGCTCAAAAGATAGAACAAGCTTAAATTAGCAGAAGAAAGCAGAAAGAACACGTTTGCCCAATTAGGCTGAAAGAAGCAGAACTGAGCACAATAAAGGATGAATGAATGAAAGAAAAAATGTTCAGGAAAAAAGCTGAAATTAGCAACAAAAAAACTGCTGAAAAGTAGCTAAAAAGCTGAAAGAAGCTTAAATTACCAGAAACAAATGGAGGAGCACATTTTTGCTGAATTAGGCTGAACAAAGTTTAAATGAGTGCAAAAAATGTGGAATTAGTTGAAAAACTTAAAATTAGCATTAAAAACAGCTAAATTGTAGTTAGAATAGCAGAAAAAGCTTAAACTTGCAGAAAAAAGCCCATAGAAGCATAACAAGCTGAAATTAACAGAAGCAGCACAAAAATCTTGTAGTCAGCAGAACGAATTTCAAAGGATCACAAAACAGCTGAAAAAAAATTGCTGAAAGTAGAAGATTTTTTTTTTTTATTTGCCCAAGGAAGCTGAAAGAAGCTGAACTCGAACAAAATGTGAAAGGAGCAGTAAAAGGTTGTAAACAGATCTAAAGATGTGAAGGAGGTAAAATGAGCTCAATTCATTTTTATGAGGAAAAAAATGGCAGAAAAGGCTCAAATTTTCAAAAAGCTAAAGTTGAATCAATACCAAAAGTCACGGCACCCTTCTGAACGAGCTGAACGTTTTGATATATGATTTGTTGAAATAGCACAAAAATTATGAAACGAGAAAAATGCTGAAAAACGTACAGAACAAAAATGGATGACAATAGTGTGAACGCTTCGTGAGCGTTCACTCAGTAAACTTCAAGCAGGGAGCTCATTTGTACACTTTGTGTTTAAAAATGTGAATTAAACGTGCGTGGCTGAGTTCAGAACTTGACCCGCATCCTTTACAGTTAGAGGAATTTATTTTTATTTTTTAAAGGAATGGATGATGTAAAGAGATGTAGGCGAGGGGGAGATGATTATCAGATTATCATGAAAGCCATTCAATGTGAAAATAAGTGTGTGTGTAGAAGAAGAAAACAGGAAGTAGTAAGATGGAGGTGTTTAGCCTTGAAGGATTTGTGTGAAAAGAGGACAAAGGAAGAAAGGAAAGGCAGGATGTTCTTTTCCTCCTCTTTTCTTTGAATTGACTCTTTGTTGTGATTTGTGTCTCAGTGAAGACTGTCCATTAAGTGTCTCTTGGGGACGGTCCACTGCGGCTGTGAGCCCTGGGATTCATGTTGTCTTATTTTCTTCTTCTGCTCCCAGCTGACTCCATTTCTTTCTGTCTGTGCACTTTCTCTCCCTCAGAGCTGCCGTATGGCTGGGAGAAGATAGACGACCCCATCTACGGCAGCTACTACGTAGAGTAAGTTTCCTCGTTCACATCTGAAGCCGAGCAGTCGACTCGCGGCCACGTGGTTGCGGGACGTTCTTTTCGCACACACTGTTCATAGTCCACAAGACACATGGCGCAGAGCTCCTGGGAAACCCCTCCTGCTCCAGTGCACGCCACGCCCGCAGTGAAAACTGTTGGTGCTCGTCTCCTGGTGCTCCACATGATCGTCCAGCCACTGTAGAGCTGGTGTGCAGTGCTAGCACGGGTTTCTTCTCGCTGGCGCCTCAGCTCCGTCCCTGCATTCACCGTTCGGCTTTTACAATTCTGTCATGAAGAGAGCGTTGTGTGCACGCACAACAGTAGTTGATGCAAAATGACAGTACAGTATGCTGATGCATGCTCAAGTACAGTACAGTACAGTACAGTAGTTCCTTGTTTATCATGGGGGTTACGTTCCGGAACACCCCCCTCCCCCACACACACAAGAAGGGAAAAACTGCAAAGTAGGAATGATATATTTACAGTATTTTAGTATTTTTATATATATTAAGGCTTTATAAACCCTTCCCATACTCTTGCAATGTTCTGAACTCTTAAACCTACATCATTTTAACAACATACGTACAGTACAGCAAACAAAACCACACAATGGTCCCGATCGAGTCCAAATCTGGATGAAAAAAGTCCCGGTGAGCGCCAGAGAAAACACCGGACCTCCAAGCAACACCTCCCCGCTCGAGAGGCCTCATGTCCTCGCAAGCACCACTCAGATTAGAGCTGTCATTTCTAACCCGAAACCCAGCCCGGACGACCCGGATTAGGGCCGGGCCAGGCCAGGCCGTTATCATGTGATTAATGGGCGGGCCGGGCTGGTCTCGGGCTTTTAATTAGGTCAGGATCAGCCGCGATCCAGTTATATGATAACATGGCCTGCCATACATCCACCATCTGCACGCGGCTGTTTCACCGCCAGCTGACCGGCCTTGAAAGAGATAAAAAGTTCAGTTAAGCTTCAGATGGGACTGTACTGCCAGGAAGTGATCCATCGCCCAAATGGACGTTCATTCAGCCGCTGCACTCAGCGGACACGTACGGCCGACGACCCAAACAGGTGAATCCCAAAGCAGACGTGTGTCAGAGCTGTTCGCGTGTCTCAGTAATGCAGAAGAATGCATAAGAAACGGGTTTTAAATGCTTTTTTATGGCCACGAAAGTACTAACACCTCTCAGCTCCGAATCTTCTACTGCTTTTATTCAGCTGCGCGTCCCCGACCGTTAATAACTAATTAAGGGGGTGTTCGGACTTGTAATTACTGTTAATTTGTCGGGTTGGGTGGGGTTCGGAAATTATGACTGCGGGCAGATTTTTTGGGTTCGAATGCAGCTCTTAACTCAAATTGACCAATGAGGTTCCAAGTCTGGTTCTGGTCAAGTTCACAATCGATTCCGTACGGCTCTCTGTATCCACTGAGCTCCGAAGTCACTTTGAAAAACGACCAAACTTTTCAAATCAGATCAAAACTTTCCCTCCATTTCAGCAGAAAGCAATGGCTGGAGAGGCACTGTTGGGGCTTCTGGGAAATGTAGTCATTTTGAGTGGTGATACAGTGCAGGCGTATTGAGAGAAAACTACAAAATGGCTGTGCCTGTTCCAAGTATTTTTTTCGTTAACTTTTTACTGTACAGTATCCCGTACTGTCCGAATTGCATGAGTAATATTAAAGTTGACAATCATGTTATGTACAATTTTTTTTTCTCATTTAGAATTTTACTTTGAGAAGCCGTGAAAGAGCGAGTCCGCAAAAGTCGAACCGCGAAGTATCGAGGGAGTACTGTATTGCTGTCTGAGCGCTTTTCCACATAAACAAACAGACCCACAAACCTCTGACCAATCACAAAATACTTTGCTCGAACCCCGTGAGAAAAGGTTAGTCCCAGGTCCGGTGTTGAAAAGGAGCGTGCGAAGCTACGGTGAGAACAAACGATGTGATTTTCTCCTCATCGAGTGCCTAATTCTCCGCTCTGGATGCAGAATAAAAGACCTTCACACACTGCTGTAAGGTGTTTAACAACCCTGTGAGAATGAGAAATAAATCTAATACTAGCGTTTGTCTTTGTAGACATTACAGGCATTTTTGTGTTTAACTAAAACAGAATAAAACATACATTTGTAAGTATTATTACACAGTCATTGAAAAGAGTAATTACACTCTCTTTCAGCTGACTATAATGTTAAAATAGTATCAAAATGCTTTATTTTTCTTATGCAGTTTTAAAACTAATGAGCTTTTTTTTGTTGTACCAATAAATCTTTTTAAAATTTAAAGCCTGTTCGGTGAAGCTGAATTTTATTTGGCTGAATTGAACGTAATGCGTTCATTTAGTTTACTGCTGACTAAATGTTTAACTCAGAGTTGTGCTGCACTGTATCGTATTTTTCGTTGGTTTTATTTCGGCTCGTGTAATTTGTAACGACGCGCTGTTTTCTCAGTCACATCAATCGAAGGACTCAGTTTGAGAATCCAGTTCTGGAAGCCAAGAGGCGCCTGGAGCAGCAGAGACAGATGCAGAGCCAGGGACTGTCTGCTCTACCTTTACCCACAATCTACAGAGGTACGCTCTTTACACACCGATGGAGTTAGAAGAAATATGAAAAATGACACAACGCAGGAAAGCATAGCCCGCTGTTTGGAGCCATAATTTTCCTGTGTGCTAAAAAAAAGGTTAATTTTGGATTTTCTGTTGGGGGTTTTGTTTTGTTTTCCTGGTTCATCTCATGTGGTGGGCAGTTTTATGAGATCAGATGGGGCAGATGTCACATTTTACTTTATAGGGTTGGATGGAAATCACTGGGAGTGCAGACTATAAAGAACAGGCTCAGCCTAAGGCCTCCAGTGTGATAATCCAGGCATGATGAGAAAACGAACCGGGCACATTATGCTCTGCTTTGTCTGAGTGACGCATCCTACCAGTCACTTTATCAAGAGAACGTGAAACCCATCATTTCCAGCTTCCGTTTCCAGCAGGAATTGTGTGACAAAGCAAATGTTCAAGGTTTTCTACAGAAGTAGATGTGAAATATAACGACAACCTGCTCTAAATGCAGAAAAGCCGTTGTTTACGAGGGACCCGACCCAGCTGAAGGGCACCTTCCTGTCAACGGCCCTGCAGAAGAGCAACATGGGATTTGGCTTCACCATTATTGGAGGCGATGAGCCCGACGAGTTCCTGCAAGTGAAGAGTGTTATCCCAGATGGGCCGGCTGCTCAGGACGGGAAAATGGACACAGGTAATTATCTGTACCAGTCATACACTGACGACCAGTTCAGAAATAAACTGCAGCTCAAACAAGTGGCAGCTTCCTGCTTGGAGTGCTTTAACCCTTGGAAGACCTTGTAGGGGGATTTTTATTATATTATATTTTTATTTATTTATTTTGGGGCAGTTAATAAACATTATTTTTTCTGACAAAGCCTAAAAATCCCTTAATTTTTTTATTTATATCATGTCAGCATTTTTTTTAAATGCTCTTGGAACGTCGCAGGAAGTTTACTACACTCTCGTGTTCCAGGGAACATCCATTAAAAATTAATTTTTCGATCCCATATTTGTTCATAAAATAATGTATTCCTCTCAGTAATGTTTTTTTTTGTTTTTTTTATATCTATTTCTGTACAGTAGTCCCTCGCTACTTGGCGGTTCGTTTATTGCGGGTTCTTTATATCGCGGATTTTCAAAATAAGATTGGACATGACACAACTGGCTGATAGATGAGCCATGGGTCATTTATTTAAAATAAATCATTTTAAATGATTTTGCATCATGTGTGAAGCCCACAAGTGCAGCGGGAAGCTCCCTCCTGCAGCTGATCAGCTGATCTCCTCTGCCACGCATGCATTTCTCCTGCTGCAGCTTTGTGAAGGGCCCTTTGCTGTCCAGATGCACCGATCAACTTTTGTCTTCCAACTTAAAATTCAAAGCATGGGACATCGTAAAAATCACCATAATCACAAAATATAAAAGTGTTAAAAGTTATGTTTGATTGTTTTAGAACTTCTATGTTCCGTTGTTGAAGTGTAATTGATCAAGAAGTACATTTCTGCTCCCTGCTGCAGAGCTGTGTGACAGCCTTTGATGCCCTGCTGCACTTCTCTTCTCTACAATTTAAATTTAAATACTGTAACATTTAAATAAACAATCCATGCTGTCTGGATTGTTTATTTAAATGTTACAGTATTTAAATTTAAATTGTTTATTTAAGGATGGAGATTGGGAGTAACAGGTGATGAGTGTGATTGCAGCCTGGCACATGTCAGGACAAAGTTTACTGAACTTGAACTGAACTTGAACTTGGACTACTGTATCCATACTTCACAGTTTTTCACTTGGGTGGGCGTGGTTCCTAACATCCGCGACAAACGATGGACTACTGTACTCTTAATTTTTATATTAGCTCTCTGGTGGTCTGCTTTTAAGTTTAAGAGTCTGTAAAAAAACATTGAGCCATATCCTAGAAGCCGAGTCTTCTATCGGCCAGACGTCGCTGCAGAGCCCCACCCCTCGTCTCGTCCAACAAAACTGTTTTAGTTTGGATGTAAAGAGTAAAAACAAACACACACACTTGCAAGTTACACATGTAATGTTTAGTATTAAAAAAAATATGTTTGCAGGCTGCAGAATTTGTTCTACGGTTCAGAACGGCTGACAGCAGTTGACTCCTGCTGGTTTCCCCCAAATCAGGATGTAAACAGTGGATGCACATGGCTGCAGCCACTGGGAGCATATCTTAATATCCTGGTCAGGAAAAGCAAAACATGAAGCCGAAACTGGCGTCTTGCACAAGAAGGGATTTATAAAACATAAAATAATCAGATAGATTCAGAGGGGCCCGGTGGGCTGGAGGGTAACTATGGACTGGATTCATTTTTTAATTACAAAAATCTTTTTGGGCATACTAATATGAGAAATGCTTTGTTTATTTATTTGTTTGTTTGTTGGTTTACTTATTTATTAAGTTATTTAATTTGTTTGTTTGTTTACTTACTTATTTAATTTCTTTCTTTCTTTATTTTCCTGAAAAATGCCATAAAATAGATATTTATTTTTTTTAAAAACTAAAGTGGGTTTTTTTTGTCTTCTTTTACAAAAGATCTACTTAATGAGTAAAAAAAAATTAATAAAAGTCATTTCAGTTAGATTTTTTCATTTCAGGCTGAGATGGCTCTTAAATACTCGTTTTTTTGTGGGAAAATGTAAATTAAAAAAATGTATATTATTTAAGCAGTTAATTAAGGATTTTCCCTGTGGTCACAAAGTTACCTGGACTTCCAGGGGTTAATGTGTTCAGAGAAATGCTTCAGTGGGTTCATTGTTATTCTGACGCTTCATTTCTAGCTTTAGAAGTCCAAATAAAATGACATTATCTTGACACAGTTTCAGTCTCACTGAAGACGATTTCATTTGCCTGTATTAACGTGAGGTAAATTTGGTGCCGTGTTGTCAGAACGTTTCTTGGCTGATCCAAAGGGCTTTTGTTTTAGCTGGCAGAGCTTCAAAATCACCCCGCCACCTTCACAAACTTTAATTCTCTGCCTTATTTTTCAGTCACCAAGTGATAACGTGAATAGAAAAGAAACGGTTTTCCCCACTCGAATCAAGTATTAAACTGTCAGCTGTAAATTATGAAGGAAGGAAGAAACTGGAAGATTCTGTTCGACAAGGGGGGTTTAAAGTGACAGTTCAGACCTTTTCGAACGGGGTTCTGTGAAAAGATTTCGAACCAGTGATAAACTTCTCGTCACAGATTGAACGACCTCAGTTTGGAGAGTTGGTTTAATTCTGAGCAGCTTGCTGAGTTAACAGCTTCTTCAAACCAGCCCAGAAGAGACTGCACAGGTTTAAAATCAGTCCGATCTTTGTGGAGTTGACAGAAGTCCACTTAAATCTTGGCTCGTTTAAGTCCAGTTCGTCGGTCTAATTAAATGCTATTTGTGACCCAATCCGGCAAAATAAGACACAATGAGGAGTTTCTTGATATTTAATAGTTTTTTTTTATTCATATTTCCCATCTCAAAAGCTTGAAAATGGTAATTTCTTAATATTTGGCGGTTTATCACCTGGCCTGGCAACAAGTTGGCTTTGGTAACGAGCGTACCGGTTTAGAAAATTCTATTCTTATTGGTCTAAAATGATGTCTTTGGGAATTCTTGCATATTTTCGAAAAAGGTGGATCTTGAATTGGGAAGATAATTTGCTATTTTAGTTAATGGGATCACTCGTTAGGCACTCTTTTTTTTTTTTTAAACTCAAATCTCAGTTGCAGCAAAAATCTAAAGTGTCACTTATTTTGCTCTCTCAGATGTTTGTGTCACACAGCTTGATCAAGTTTGGGTTTATATGTGGCAAAACAGTTTCTGAAATCTTCTGGTGAGGTTTTAATGCACAGACATTTATTTTTAGCCGTTATAAATCCTGTTGGGACAAATATAAGTTGTCAAACAAACAACCTTCCCTTGAAACACTTACAATTTGTTTTTTATTTTTTGTAGCCAAACCTGGAAGTTCGCCTGTCGCTGCTTCTCGTTAGACCCAGTACCTTTCCCCTCCGGCCTCTTAGCTTTTTATTCACTAAGGTTTTCTTAAATATTTCACAAACAAGTCTTAAGTGCAGTTGATAAAAATGTTACCTCTTATGTTAAATTGCATCTCTGCTGTCAACAAAATTACGTTGATAACTTAAAAATAGTCTAAAAAAGTCGAAGTTAGAAGTGGAGGTCTCTGTATTCCTAGAATTATTCATGGTGCTCCACATTTGTGCCTCCACACCCTCGTGTGTTTCCGAACTCAAACATTTTAGCTTTTCCTTCCACATTTAGAGATGTGGGATGAAACATTAGGTTTAATTAACCCTCCTGCTGCCCTGATCCACGAGGCCTGAACAGAGGCCTCAGAAACTGATATTGTCTAGTTCCTCTAAACTTGGTTGTTTAAATGTAAAAAGAAATTGAAGCTTCGTCCTTTTCAAATAATCCACAGACGGATTCAAAGGATGCATGTCTTCCAAAAGCACAAGGAGCAGAAAAGCTCAAAGCTCATTAAAACCTCAACCTGTAAAAGTAAAGCAACAGAACAGAAAACACCTGAGGACAGCTTTCATTCAACAGAAATGATACATTTTAGTCAAAGTAACTGGAAATCTTTAGTTGCTTTAATATCTCGTATATTTGCTTGAATACAGAAAAATCAGCTTATTTTGGCAGATTTAAATGACCCAAAAGTAGCATTTTTAAGAAAAGACAAACATGAGGTAACATGCAAACCTCATTTCTTAAAGTGTAATCATTCCTTTTCACAATTGAACAGTCAGGTTCAGTGGAACCAATCGACACATCTAAGTTAAATAAATCTAACATTTCATTCCTACTTTAAAGAGAATTAAGGACGGAGTCCAATTTTATTGGCCAAAAAAAACCCGCCTACTTCATTAGGAGGTCTATTTTTGCTCTCAGAGCTGTGCTGCAGGTGCAGAATCCAGTGCACCCTCAGAAATAAAACGTACAACGTTGCACCTGTTTTATAAAATTATCCACTTGGGCTTTGAGTCAAATAGTTGAGTTAAAACAGCATCAGATTTAGCCAAGAGGAGCGGCGCTATCTTCTAATCCGGAGATCTTAGAATCTACAGATGTATCAGATTATTAAACCAAACTCTTGTTTTCTGCAGTTTCCTTTAGTTGGACGTCAAATCTTCATCTGCTGTTGAACTTTCCATGTAGAGAGTTTGGATTAAGTTCACAGAAAACACATTTACCGTACTTTTCACGGATAAGTTGCACCGTTTTGGACAAATTTGCATGCCCTACAACTTATACGGCAAAGCAACTTATTTACATTGTTTTGCCCCATATTTATAACCCAACGTGGCTGAGATCTGACGATTTCATTCATTCTGACATGGAAAATATTGAACACTAACATTTTCAGCCGCTAGAGGGTCCTCGACCAATATGGCAAGCCAAGTGTCTCATTAATAGGTAAAAGTGGCTATTAATGAGATACTTGTCTTGCCATACCAAGCTACCTTATTCTCGTTCTGGAACTCCTGGAGCAAATGTCAAAAATCTGCTACATTTCGCTGCACCGCCCAGGTGAAATGCAGCAGATTTGACCGTTAAAGTGCATTTATTAAGGAAAAGTTCAACTGAAACACACCTTTACTATAATGTCGATCAAACAAATAATTGTTTTTTTAAGTGTTAATCTTGTTAAATTCTTGCTAAAGTCCTCCCGTGTACGCTCCCACGCCCGCCATTTGGCAGCCAATCGATTTTTGGCCCACTGGCCCACATTTCCGGGTGGTCAGCGGTGACTCATAACAAACGCAACACGTCAGCTATGATGCATAATAGAAGCAGTTTATATGGTGAAGCGACATATTTATGTTTTTTCCCACTTTATTAGACACATTTGGACTGATGCGACTTATACGGCAGAGCGACGTGTACGGCGGAAAATATGGTAATTTAGGAGAACCTGCAAACTGGAACCTAAACATCTCATCCAGAGCACATTTCTGAGCTGGGAGTCTTTCTCCTGCTACTCTCTGGTTTTCTCTGACAGTTTCTCTTTTTTCTGCTCTCTTATCTCTCTCTCTGTTTTATCTCCATCACTTTTCTCCAGCTCCAACTTTGTTATGCTTCTTTATCAACCCATGGTATCTGACACCTCTCCTCTGTTCTCAGCCTCAGTATGTTTTTGTTCGTTATCTTTTTTCCCTCTCCGTTTTTTTCGTCCTTCGCTCCTCCCAGTCCTGGTCTGTCGAGCCTTCACTTTCTGCTCTCTGTTCTGATTTCTTTCCCACCAATTTGCTCGTCTCCACTCTGTGACATCGCCGCTCACACACACACGCTCCCCGACTGAGATTAGCTGGCCTATTTGAGCCGTGCAGCGGCGCTCTCAGGGATTTTGTATGATGGTGGATTTGACATGTATGGTGCACGTCTCGGTGTGCACGCACACACACTCATGGGCGTGTGCGCGTGTCGGCACTTGTTACAGACAGCGCCTCCAGAAGTGTGAAATAAAGTATTTGAGGCAGCTGCATTCGTCATGGACCTGTGGCCTTAAAGGTGAAAGTTATAAGTTTTCACACGTTTAGACTGCAGCAGAGGATCCAGTATCACATTAAAGAAGAAGCCTTATTGTATATTTTTTTTTTTGTATATTATGCAGTGAAGACGACATTTACTGGAGTAGATAAGTGTGGACGCTTGATCAAACACAGGACCATTAAAACTCGGTGCAGCCAGTGTTCTTTGGAGGATTTAAAATCATGTACTGTCTTGTATGCCAAAGTTTTAAACAAAGGCTTTGTATGATCTGTTAGCCCTCAGAGCTTGTGTTATAAAGGACTCTTAGCTACTAACACACCGAATTTTAGCTCAGTATTTCTAAAATTAACCAAGTTATTGCCATTTTTAAGTTAGCTAAAGTTGGTTGGTTGTGGTTGCCATCTTGAATCAGGTTGACTTCAAAAGTTCATCAGCTGTAGCTGTTTCATTGTAATCTGTCCAGTGGTTCATGAATCAGAATCAGAATGCGTTTTATTCTCATTGCACAGTTAAGTACAGCAAGATTACGTTGATTATCATGAGATATTTTGCTAACAGACAGACATGGGCAAAAAACTCATCTCCTGTTTTTTTTTTGTTGTTCTTTTTTGGTGACATGCTCCGTTTAGCATGAGTCAAAACTTAAATCAGACATGAATTTAAAGAAGCATTTAGATATTTTAAGGTTTTGTGATTAAAGGGTTCGAATTAGGCCTGTCACGATAACAAATTTTGCCGGGCGATTAATTGTCTCAGAAATTATTGCGATAAACGATAATATTGTTTGAAATTTGACAATAATTAGTAATTATTGTCAAATTTAAGAAGAAATGTTGGCTAATTTGTGTGTAGTACCTTTTTTACCACTGATGGCAGTATAAGACTGTTTGAACCGAAGGATGGATAGTGAGGGAGCGAGCAGCGTGTTTCTTTAAGAAAAAATGAGAGTGAGGCCCCTTGACGTGACATGGGCTGTCTCTCCTTCCTGTTTTTCGATTCTCAAAATGGTGGACGCTTGGTGTGGTTTGAGCTCTTTAGCATAACATTTTTCACACAAAGCTTTTAATAAAAAAATCAATAAACAAGTTTTCAGCTTCTTTTTGCAGAGAAGAACAACTTTTTACACGAAGGCACGGGTTTCAACCGTGAATTTTGGAGCCTCAACAAGACGGAGGGTTTTTTCCCGAGGTCGGCCTGTTAGCTTAGCTCGTAGCTTAGCTTCTCAGCTTAGCTGCTTTTAACGATACAAAAATGTGATTTTGGACGGTTAAAACAGATTTTAAAGAGTGAAGAGAAAGGGAGGGGTCAGTGAAGAGCACCAGAGTTGTCATCCAGTGACTTCAGTAAAAAGAGAGAGACACGAAGAAACAATAAAGCCGATAAATGAAAATGAGGTCGATAATTTTCATTTATCATGCGATTAATTGATTTATTGTTTAGTGCCACAGGACTAGTCCGAATGCCACTTTTCAGCAGCAGATCATTGTCACATTCACCCAGACGTTGACTGTACCCCCTCCCCCTGTGGTTGTAGATCGCTGTCAGTGGTGATCAGACGATCGTGCTTCCTCTGTTTTGCTGCATCTTGTTGTGAAACCACTGAGAGTTACGGACTGCGACAAGTTGTATTTTTGGAGCGCAGCAGGTTCTGCTGAACCACTGACACCAGATCGTGTGATGTGTGAGACATGAAATGGTCCCAAGTGTGACTAAAGCTGCTCGTATCTCCTCTTCCAGGGGACGTTATTGTCTACATTAACGATATCTGCGTGCTCGGCACCACGCACGCAGACGTTGTGAAGCTGTTCCAGTCCGTGCCCATTGGTCAGAGCGTGACCCTTGTGCTCTGTCGAGGATATCCTCTGCCCTTCGACCCCGAGGACCCGAGTGCTGCAGCGAGTTCTTCTCTTACGCCCATCGGTCTGGAGCACCGTCCGCTGGTCGTGAACGGGCGCGGCAGCTACGACCCGTACCTGGAGTATCTGTCGTTGAGCTCTCAGCTTCCCCCTCAAGCTCTGGCCCAGGCCGGGGTCTCTCATCCCGGAGACACACATCTGGACGGCTCGTCGCTGCCACCCACCACGCCCGGCTCGGCGTCGGCACTCACACCTCGAGACGATAACGTTTCTATGGCTTCTTCTGGGACTGGGGGTGTTGCCGGGGGAACAGCGTCAGGGGCGGATCTACTGACAGTCACCATGGTGAAAGGAGCAGAGGGATTCGGGTTCACAATTGCTGACAGCCCGACTGGTCAGCGAGTAAAGCAGGTGATGTCATCTCTTTTTATTTATATATATTTATTTTTATTTTTTTATTTTATTTTATTTTTTTCAAAATAAATGGCATGTAAGAGTTCATTCAACAGTTTGTGTGTCAGGAAGTTCACGAAGTCCCAGAGGTGACCTTAACTCTAGTTGAACTTGAGGCTGAAGACTTAAAGAACTTTACAACATCTTGATCATAAGGCCAGTATGTGTATTTCAAAAGTCAGCTCCAGTAACATTTTAAAATGAAGTTATTAATACTCCCTGACTCAGTGAGCATCTAAGTAACTACTGGTGTTCCCCGAGGCCATATATGTCTGACGAGCCTAACCCAGCAGGCCTGTGAAGATTTAAATTATGAGTAACTTCTACATTGTTAAGAGCAGAAGAAAGAGTTCATGGTGGCAGTAACTTAAACAATCAGAGCACTCATTCACTAAACACAACTGGGCCCAACTCTTCAAAACATGGCACTGGGAGGATGCTCTCCATCCATCCATTGTCTTTACCTGCTTCTCCTCTCCGGGTTGTGGGGAGCTGGTGCCTGTCTCCAGCAGTTACTGTGCGAGAGGCGGGGGACACCCTGGATGAGTCGCAGAGACACATGGAGACAAACGAGACCAACAACCATTAACACTCTCATTCATACGTCCAATGAACCTAACATGCGTGGTTTTGGTCTCTGGGAGGAAACCGGAGTATCCGGTGAAAGTCCACACTCACACAGGAAAAACATGCAAACTCCACCCAGAAAGACGCCATGCCAGGTGGCGATCCTGTGACCTCCTCACTGAGAGGCGACGGCTCTACTCTCAGTTTTAATTGTAGTGTTTTTTTGTTTTTTTTATCTTTGTTCAGTTTTAAAATTTTCCATTTAGGTCACTTTGCAAACATCTGTATATTGTGACCATGCCGACAGGTTAGCTCTGTAGAATAGAAGAAGGGTTGAAAATCATAAAATAACAAGCTGCAGCTTCACAGAGTACATCCTCACTTATCTTTTGTCTTTTCTTGGATAAATGCAGCCATCTTTTTGATGTTCCCACGGATTAAACTTCAACTTTTAGACCAGTTCTAGTCAGATTTTTAGTCTAGATGTTTATGGAGAGCTTAGATGTCGTCATACCTGAACTGCTCACAATAATTGTCATAATTCAAAATCATCAAATCAAATTCAAAATGAATCAAAATTAATATTTTACAGCTCTGCTGGACATTCCTGCAGTCAGCATGCCAACTGCACGCTCCCTCAAACCTTGCAACATCTGTAGCATTGTGCTGTGTGATAAAACTGCACATTTTAGCGTGGCCTTTTATTGTGGTCAGCCTAAGGCACACCTGTGCAATAATCATGCGGTCTGATCAGCATCTTGATATGTCACAGCTGTGAGGTGGATGGATCATCGCGGCAAAGGAAAAGTGCTCACTAACACAGATCTACATAAACTTGGGATTTATATTTGAGAGAAAAAGGTATTTTGTGTACGTAGAAAAAGTCTTAGATGTTTGAGTTCAGCTCATGAAAAATGGAAGCAAAAACAAAAGTGTTGCGTTTCTATTTTTGTTCAATGTAAATTCATTCATTCAACCTTTATTTATACAGGTTAGTCTTAGTAAAAGCACTGATAAGTAAATAAACGTGATCCTCTGGTTTCCCTCACTGGATGCGATGATACCCTTGTTTTCTGCAGAGTCAGTCAGAGGACTGATGGGGGTGTCTTGTTGTGTTTGAAGCTCTTAGATCCAGGCTCACAGGGGGCATCAGGGCTGATCGAAGGAGACCTGATCCTGGAGGTGAACCAGCAGCCGGTAGCTGCAGCGGGACATGGACGGGTGGTGGAGCTGCTCAAAGAGTGTCCTGTGGGAGCAGAGGCGACACTCCTCATACAAAGAGGAGGAACAGGTAAGATGTTGATTAGTTACCTGCTTGGTAGTTGGTTTGCAGTCATAGTTTAAACAAAAATTCATCCTTTTTAACTTATCTTGTTTTATTGGAGCAAATAAGCTCTCATCAGTAACTAGCAGGACATGCTAGCATCATTATTAAATAAAGACTGAAGCATTTTGTTATGTACTGTATGTATTTGCAGATATTTCACGATTCATTTCATGAATAAACTGCTATATTTAATGAATAACGTTTAAAAATGTAGTTCTACATTTCCTATAAAACTTTAAGCGGGATGGTTTATATCACTTTAATTTTAATTTTTCTGGATAGGAGTTGTAGAAATAATAATAATGCTACAGGTCCTGTCAACTCACAGTAGTTTGGTAGAAACAATAATTTGAGCAAATATCAGAATGGATCCAGTGCGAGAGGTTCTTCCTGCTAAATGTATTTTAAACGTTTATTTGCTAAAGCGTCGTTTTGTGGTTCAGCTGCAGCTTTGCAACAGAGTTCAGCTGAGTTAACCACCTCTGAGAAGACCAAATACATTTAGATGAAAATCTGTTTGAGAACTGCTTTTTATAATAAAAGTTGTTGTTGTTACTTTTGGAAACCTTTAAATCAGATTTTTCTCTTTTAGATGTAAAAAAAATAAAATAATTGGTTTTGTGCAAAAAGTGCTGAATTGCTCAAATAAAAAAAAATACTATTTAAAACTATTTAAAACAACTGGTAGCAGTACATAATATAGCCCTATAAATATAATATACATACTGAGTATATGACACTTACAGGGTACTTACCAGGTACATAATGGGTATATTCACGGTACTTATTGAGTACTTACAGGATATTTACATTGAACTTACAAGGTATGTAGTACCCTGTAAGAACTAGATACAAATATTTTTAGTACCAAGTACAGACCTGTTAAGTACCCTGTAAATACCAAGTACACTACAGGAAAATACCCTTATGGTATCAGGTACATATCCACTGGGTTATTATTCGTATTACTACCAACACATTAAATTATTTCAAACTTTTTCACAGTTTTTTTCAGTGCGTTTATAAGAATATTTAGTTTTAATGTTTTTCCTTCTTGCAGGAGAAACTGTTTAAATAAAGTGTTCTACAATAAAAAGAAGATAAAAACAACAAGTACTTTTATATGCAGCAGGTTGCAAACATGTCATGTTAGGGGTGTATGTTTAAAATGTGGGGGTGTTCAGTTTGAATCCCACCCACTGCGATGTCTCAAACAAACGCAGGTATTTCTCTGAAGTGTTTCAGGACGAGCTGCTGAGCAGGTAAGGCTGGCTGTTGTTTGTCTCTCCAAAACGCTCCGACCTCAAACTGCGTTTTTATCGTTTCTGCATACAAATCCATTCCGATCTAACCCTGCGGGTCAGGGATGCTTGGAACAAGACCAGAATACGAAGCAATCGGCTCTTTACTGTTCGGACAAAGTCACCTTTAAGATGTTCGGCACCGTGTGGACGTTCTACCGTCTCTTCAAGTGAAAGCAGGCGCTCACCCTCATTCAGAGAAACATAATGCTCAAACCGCGGGATCACTGGAACAAAATAAATGTGACCATTTTCCCGCTTCTACATTCTAGCCTCCTGCAAGGAAATTAAACTACACGATGTAGGCTTTATTTGTTTGGCATGTGCACTTGCAGTGATTCTCTCAAAGGTGTCCTGGTCAGAGGTTAGAATTTGACTTGATGGTTTTCTCCATGCTGCTTACACCTCAGAGCCCCGGGCCATCTGACCAACACTCCGACCTAACCACACACCGACTAATCGTACAGCACCACTCAGCCTCATGGATCAAAGTTAACAGCCCTTATAAAAATGATTCTTTGAGTTTCAGCAGCTTCTGGTTTCTATAGAGTTAACTGCCAGGAGTGAGGAGTTAATTTGTTTGAGATGCTATCAGGACAGTAAAGAGGAGTCATAGACGGGCTCTTATTTGCATCACTCTTTTCACGGATTGTATTTAATAAAGGATGAAAGTAATCAGCCTCGTATGCATCTCAGGTTTAATTAATTTATGTGTGACAAGAATTATGAGAGGCTATCAAAGACATTAGCGCTCAGTGATCCTGTTACACGACTACCTGATGTTAAAGGCCGGTTTGCTGATTTTACGATGGTTCTACGCTCCTTGTCTGCAGATCTGTACCAATCCTCCACGCAGCCAAGCAAACTGGATGTGCACGCTGCGTTCAGTTACTCAGCAACTTGATTCAATTAGAGCCAATTAGTGTTCCAGAGTCGGCGAGGAGCACAAACCGTTAGAGAACGCCGCTGCAGACCTACAGGATGTGAGCAGATGAGATCCTACACCCGGCCTTGTGGACATCTTTTGACCGCGCAGTGCCACGATCCGCCCCCTGGTGTTTGTTAACGCAGCGTCACGTGAACAGACGGGGCTTTTTTATTTGAGTTTGCACATAAACTCACAGTGTTTTCTATAAATAACCTCCAACGTGCCAACCTAAATCTGATAAACTCTCCTCTTTACCACAAAAATGCCATTTCCTCCTTTAACCTGGCCTAAACAACAGCCCCACTGGGGATATCAGCCTCACACAACAAGAGTTTCATTGCCTCACTTTCTGTGTGTGTGTCCTCTCTGCTCCGTGATTCAGATGTTCAGTAGGTCAGGACTGTTAGTTGTACAGTTTATGTGCAGATTACCAATAATCCCGATGATTTCAGACCTGTGACTGAGAGCATCCCTGCTGTTTGTGCATCACAGACTCGGTGTCAGACTTCTGCTGTGAGTGCAACTGTGTGTGCTTATGTTTGGGCGCTCTGCCAGAGTTCTGTTGAGCTCCGGTCGTGTTCGCAGCTCCGGTCCAGTTTAACGCGGAGCCAACCACAGACCTGAAACGCTTCGCAGCACCAATGAGGATGCAGGCGGGAGGCTGAGGCGAGCCAAACGGGCCGATCTGAGGCCCATCCAGAACTCTGCAGGCTAGTCTGCGAGTTCTGGCCCGCCAGACGGCTGTACTTGAGCGAGCCAGAGAGAGGGCGCACGTGAAGACTCTCAAAAAAGTCGCTCATTTGTGAATCAGTGCGCATCCGAATGCACTGCACATCTGATGCATATGCTGCTGAATTGTATTTGCATTTAACTGAAACCAGGAAGACGGCTGTGTTTAATCTGAACCAGTAGCTCATACTGGTCTCATTTGTTGCATCGTTAAAGATTATTTTTGTTCTTGAGATTTAGTTGTTAAAGTTCCCTGAAGGCCTCGCACTGAGCTGTCCCTCTGCTTCTGAAGCATTTCAGATTGAACTCCTTCAGGATGTTTCATGGATGAAAGTGTTTTTATCACCTGCTGCTGAGGGCAAAAAGCTGATCATGGTTTTGCCTGAGTCTGTGTGTACATGTGTTCTCTTATATTTCAGATTTTACTAAAACTTCCAGGGAACAGACCCTGGAAGTACATCTACAACTGATTAAGATTAGAGGTTAATACATCTTGATGCTCCCTGTGTGTTTGTTAGCACAATATCTCATTAAGCAGTCTAATTATTGGATGTGTGTCTAAAACTGATTTAGTTTTGGAGTCGGCCCAATTCAAGATGGCCACCGTGGGCCTTACCAAACACAAAAACGACTGTAACTTGAGTCAGCTGTAGAGATATTGAGCTAAATTAGGTGTGGTAGTAGCTAGGCCTGTCACGATAACAAAATTTGCTTGGCGATTAATTGTCTCAGAAATTATCTCGATAAACGATAATGTTGTTTGAAATTTGACAATAATTAGTAATTATTGTCAAATTTAAGAAGAAATGTTGGTTAATTTTTTGTGTGTAGTACCTTTTTTTGACCACTGGATGGCAGTATAAGCCTGTTTGAACCAAAGGATGGATAGTGAGGGAGTGAGCAGTATGTCTCTTTAAGAAAAATGGGAGGGAGGCCCCTTGATGTGACATGGGCTGTCTCTTCTTCCTTTTTTTCAGTTCTCAAAATGGCGGACGCTCTGTGTGGTTTGAGCTCTTTAGCATAGCATTTTTCACACAAATATTTTAATAAAAAATCAGTAAACAAGTTCTCAGCTTCTTTTTGCAGAGAAGAACAACTTTTTACATAAAGGCATGGGTTTAAACCGTGAATTTTGGAGCTTTGACAAGACGGAGGTTGTTTCCCGAGGTCGGCCTGTTAGCTTAGCTCATAACTTAGCTTCTCAGCTTAGCTGCTTTTAACAAACCCAAAATGCTATTTTGGACGGTTAAAACGGATTTTAAAGAGAAAGGGAGAGGTCAGTGAAAGCACCAGAGCCTTTTGTCATCCAGTGTCTTCAGTAGAAAGAGAGAGACACGAAGAAACGATAAAGACGATAAATGAAAACGAGGTCGATAATTTTCATTTATCATGCGATTAATTGATTTATTGTTTATCGTGACAGGCCTAGTAGTAGCTGAGCGTAACTCTCAAGTACGTCAGGCACTAACAGATCCCACAGCTTTCATGAGATGGAGCATGACACCAAACGTGGCAAGAACCAAAGATGTTTGTTTACAAAACAGCTGGGAATTTCCAGGCTTCAGTTGTCCATGAGAGAAGTGTGGGAAAATAAAATAGAAGGTAATGACAGAAATGGATCATTTTGGATTCGTTCAAGCACTTGATGATCTTTTGTATTTAATTTTCTTTACGTTTAAGCTCATTGCTTGGTGATTCCAAAAGAGTGATGCCGTTCTGCTCCGTTTCCACAGATTCCACCTCATACATCTAAAGAGCAGGCGCTTGTAGTTAGAGAGTAGTACCATAAATATATCCCTCACGTGCTCTCTGACATTTCTCAGGAATTCTCATAAATATAGAATAAACAAGAGTTATGTACAGGCGCCCACATCTGCTAAAGGATTTCTGTAGGCTTCATTACATATTGTGAGCTGAACTTTGGTGGAAAAGGCCCGTCTAAATGTATGTGCCTGGGTCTTTGCAGCACAAATGAGTTTGTCTGAGAGTCTGAGTCACGGGGAGCGGTGTTGATGGGCATGCTGTGGTGATATAGTGCTTCCAGATTCTTTCATCCAGATAAAATGGGGATTGCAGAAAATAAAGTGTGCATGATATGAGGTGGAAGTATGTGCTTTCGCCTACAGCTAATGATGTAATTGCGTTGAAAACAAACGCAACAGCCGTAACTGTTTAAGAGGCGTTATGTACCATCAAAATAGAAGAAAGTGAAATCAGCCACGTGAGAATTGTTGTCACTTTAGAGTGGAAGATTTGAGTATTCATCTCTTTATTAGACATATTTGTACATATATGACCTAATAGTTGGTTTTGCCTTTTATGATCTCCCTAACAGTCTGTCTGCTGATGTTTTGTTTACTGTTTCCCTCTCTCTTCCACAGGCCACATCTCTCCATGGAAGTCCTCAAAACAGGTACGACTGGATTAAATGTAACTTTAGTTGTGGTTTAGGATTCTCTCTGCTCATACGTTACCTCAAAACTCTTTATATTTTGTTTCCAAAGAGCCAGACATTCTGGTGTTCCACAGTTCTTCTGACTTTTTGGCTCTTCTTTAAAGGTTGTTACGTTTTTTGTTAGACGTGGGCAAGTGGAGGACAACAAAAGAAGTGTCTGGTCTAAGAAACTGTCTCCAACAGGGGTCTCAAACCACCGGGCTGAGGGTCGGTACTGGTTCATGGATGATTTGCTGCTGGGATGCACAAAAACAAACCTTAAAAAAACTATGCAGGAACTATTTTTATATGCCTTATTGTTTGTTTTATTTTGAAAAACTGTAGCTTTCATTTGTGCGTCTTTCCTGCACCTAAGTCTCAAAGCTACAAGCTAACCCTCAAAAAAAGGAGATGAAAAGAAAAACCAGTGGAGAAGGTCTGGTCCTTCAGAAATCAGTCTTGTAGAAAACCAGGTCATGGTGTAATAAAAGGATTTTGACCACTGATCCACAGCAGGTAAACTGTGAACATCATCATCTACTGAAGTGACTCCCAAAGTTTTCAGCTTCGGACCCGTCAAACAAACAAAGACTCCAGCTAACATAACTGAACAGCTGAATAAATAGGAGCAAACTGCTCTGACTTGTATTACACTCGTTTTATTTGCTTTGCAGCTTATATCTAAGCCCCCAGCTTGGTGTTTTGTGACCCACAGTGGGAGCCCAAACCTCAGCTTCAAGAACCACTGATCTACAGTCTTTAGAAATCAACCTGTTGTTTCTAAAATTCTTTTTAATCTGTTTCTAACTCGTTGGTAGGTTTCATAAATTGTGTCTTTGTGGCAGTCTGCTGGTAGAATTATACCTTAAGAGCCTATTTAAAGTAGTTTCTTTGCTCAGTTCATTAAGCGTGGACTCAACACTGGGTCATCTCTTGATCGTTAGAGCTGTTTTACGCCTGAAGGGTGTCAGAGTTAAGTGCCTTAGCAAAGACAAAAGTGCAAATGAAATCAATTCAGTTCTGGATCCATAACTAGTGAAAACGCATTGAAGGTTCAAAAGAAAAACCTTTAGAAAGCCTGAAGAACTGATGAGAACATTAAAGTGTATGACTCAAGGCGTACGACTCAAGAGTTTTGCACAGTACAGAATCTGTTACTCCAGAGGTATGAAAAGTGCCGGCCTCTCCTGACCTCCTTATTGGTCTGATCTCATCACGTTTCACCTCTCAGCCACCAGAGAGAAGCTGCGTTGATTTAATCTGCACCTGTTGCTGCTCGTACAATCAGCTCTCATTCTGTTTAGGCAGAAGGTTCAGACTGCATCAATTTTGCTTCCATCAGGTTGGAAATATGAACGTTTATTTAAACTCATGTTCACACCTGCCCTGGCTCTGAAAGGTTTATTTTTCTTATTGCGTTATCCAATCACAGCAGCACATGTAACTAAATTTAGCTCCCACGCCTAACGTGACTTCACATTTGTACCTGTTTAGGGCTGATGAATGCAGAGGCTGTTTTTGTGTACACTTGATGAAAAAGAGGCATTTTGGGGGATTTAAATTTGTAAAACCTGAAAATCAAATATGATTTAGATGGGATTAAATATCAACAAAGTATATCAATCCTGCAGAAGTTTTTATCCGTTTTACAATACAAAAGTGCACATTATGTGCAACTGAATGACAGTTTGTTGTTGTTTTTCTTATTTCTCGGTCAGTGGGACCCACAGGGCAGCCCTCAGGCCAACCCATCAGGCCGTGTTTTACCACCTGGCACACCTTTCCCAAACCAGCCACAACACCGCACATCGGTGCCCGATTCCACCGAGGGCTTCGATCTCAACAAGCCCGACCCATACGATCTGTACGAGAAGTCCAGGGCAATCTACGAGAGCAGGCGTAAGAGCAGAAAACATTCGCCTGTTCATAAGAATGAATATAAACAACTGGAGGAAGTGGGTTTCCTGTGAGAAAGCATTGTGAGGCTTAAGAGCCGAATATCTGCTGGTGTTTTCTGAATATGCTGAAAGTGAGATGGTAAAGCTAATAAAAGCAAAACACGAATCAAAAGCTGAAACGTGCAACATACTTGCAAAAGTAGCAAACAAAAACAACATCTAAACGTAGCAAAAAGGCTAACTAAAGATAACAAAATGCTACCTAACGCATGCAAAAGTTAGCTAAGAGGTATAAGTAGAGAGTAGTTACTAAAAGTTGCAAAAGGCTAATTAAATGTAGAAAAATCTATCTAAAAGGAGCAAGAAGCCAGTTAAAGGTAGCAAGGAGCAAAAATGTAGCTAAACAATGAAAACAGTAAATGGTTAGCTGAAGGCTGCAAAATTTTGCTAAAAGGTTTAGATAGAGAATAGCAAACTAAAAGTAGTAAATTACTAGCTAACTGTAGCAAAAGGCTAGTTAATAATAGCAATAGGCTAGCTAAATGTAGCTAAATGGAAGCTAAGTGTTACTAGACAAAAATAGAGCAAGTTAGCTGTAGCAGATTTCACTGAGAACATTTTATGAACAAGTTAAATAAATTTTCATGTGTATTTATGAAAAAGGTGTTTTTAAATATTTGAGAAGTATAAAAGTTAAAAATTCAGAAGTCCTAGCACTCGTCTCCTGACTGACTGAGGAGAACATTTTCATATATGAATGGCTAAACTATCACAAAATGTGCAGAAGTAGTTCGACTGGAGGAAAAACAGCATCAGGAGAAGAATATCATGAACACTGACTCGGCGTTGGCTCAGTAGATGTTAAATCTTGTTGTTTGCCTCCACCTGTCAGGTCCTGAGTACGAGGAGGTGGAGGTGCACCTGCTGAGGGAGAAGACGGGCTTCGGTTTCCGCATCCTGGGGGGAGACGAGGCCGTGCAGGCTGTGAGTCCGGACGCCCGTGACAAGGCTCGTATGGGACGGGCTGGACCACTCGCATCTTTAACCTCATACACACCAGCTGATCTGACCTCGCACTCTTCATCCAAACTAAACGCCCCGTCCTCCAGACACACAAGTCCTCACCCTCGAGCTGCGCAGAGCCGCCCATACTGAAGTGTTGCCTTGCTATCTGTAACAGCATGCTGTCTGTGACCCCGGGGGAGTTTGGCTGCAGAATATTAGGAGGGTTACATCATCCAAACATAGCTTACAAGATAATACAATAAACCTTTTTATGTGTGATTCCTCTGTCTCCTTCTCATCCTCTTCACCTTCATCTACGCTGCTAATATTGATTGTCTTTGTACAGATTGTTATTGGCGCTATCATAGAGAACACTCCCGCTGAGCGCGACGGGCGCCTTCGACCCGGGGACGAGCTGATTTCGGTGGATAAGAATGTGGTTGCTGGGAAACCGCACAAATACGTGATAGACTTGATGCACGCGGCCGCTCGCAACGGTCAAGTCAGCTTGACTGTGAGAAGGAGGGTGCAAATGCCTGGTGAGGACGTGCGCTATTCCTTTGCTCTTTTTTTGTTTGTTTTGGTTCATTTTATCCACGCTCGATCGAGACGGCAGGACAGGCTGCGCTTTTCACTGTGTACTTCTCTCCCACACCTTTTCTGTGTCTGTAGACCATTGTTTGTTTGTTGTGCAGCCAGTGTTGTGTTTTGTTTTTTTACTTTCCAAACAGACACTGTGCTTGAATCGACTGTGACGGTAACTCTGAGCTCGTTTCCTCCAGGTGAACTTTGTCCGGTAAACGGCCGCAGCCCCGGCTCAGTGTCCACGCAGCACAGCTCTCCACGCAGCGACGCAGCCTCGGCACCAGCCACCGCAGCCGCCACCATCTCCGTCGTCGCCTCGCTGACGGAGGGCTCCGCCGTGCACACCAGCGACGTGGTCATTAACCGCAAGGAGAACGAAGGCTTCGGCTTCGTCATCATCAGCTCCCTGAACAGGCCTGAGAACGCCGCGGTCATCAGTAAGTCGCAGAGCGATGAGCTAAAGAGAAGTGACTGTACGACAGTTGGGTTGTGTATAAATAAATACGTGTGTATTTATATCATTTTTCAATCACTCTGTGTTGAGATCCGTTTTTCTTCCGTATGTTGTAACTCGTTCCGTAATTTTTGTGTTATTTCAGTAATTTATTTATCAGAGCGTTCAGCTCGTTCAGCACATTCCTGCAATGACTTGGTATTTGTGCAATTTAAACTTTTTGAATTATTTAGCTTATTCAGCCACGTTTTTCTTTTGGAAAATGATTGGAGCTCTTTTCACTCCTTCAAACACTTTTAAACTGTTTTACTGCTCATGTCAGCTTTTTTCAGCTTCTTTCTGCTAATTTCAGCTTTTTACGCTCCTGTCAACTTTTGTCTGCAACATTCTTTTTTTTTTTCTGTTTTCTGCTACTTTTTAGGAAATTTTCTGCTAATTTTAGCCTTTTTCTGATTCTTTTGAATAATTTCAACGTTTTATGCTTTTTAAGCCTCTTTCCGCTAATTTCAGCTTTGTTTTTGCTTTTTTAGCCACTTTTTTCCCTATTTTAACTTTTTTTGCTCTTTTTTTGTTGTTGTTGCTAATTTAAGACTTTTTTTTATCATATACTCATCCTCTGCCTATTTCAGCTTATTCTGCTCGTTTCTGCTACATTTCTGTCCCATTCAGCTTTTTTAAAACACATTTCTGCTGTTTTTCTTCTGCTTGCTGCTTTTATTTTCTTGCTTTCTGCAAATAGCTGTTCAAATTCAACTCACATCAACAGTTTAGTGATGAAACCCTTTCAGCTGGTTTCATGTTCTTCAGCAGCTTTCAGCAAAAACCATTCAGCAATCAGCAAATACAGTGCATTTTGGTAGGAAATGTAGTTTCTCTGGTTAATTATTAATTCATGCATACGTCGTGTCAAAAGACGCTTTAAAACTTTTAAATCTGGCTTCTTCAAACATAAGGAGAGACGGGGTACACTCTGGACAGGTCAAGTCCATCACAGTGCTGTCTTCACAACCAGAAGACCATCTTTGTACATTTATACTGAGTGTTTTTTTTTATAACAATTAAGTTGAAAATATGCCATAAGCAAACATTTTCAAATGTAAGTTTCTATCTAGAAGATATCTGATGACATTTTGATATTTTATATCTCTTAACGGGGTCCCAGACTTGTTGAGTAAAAGCTCGTTCCTTTGCACAGTTAAAACTGCAGAGGCTCCTTCTGGACCACGTCTAATTGTCACTGTGAGGTTTTGGCGTCTTCGTGAGAACCTCGGCAGTGACGGTAACGTTGTTGTCGTCTGTCTCCAGCTGTGCCCCATAAAATTGGACGCATCATTGAAGGAAGCCCTGCAGACAGATGTGGGAAGCTGAAGGTTGGTGACCGGATCCTGGCTGTGAACGGACAGTCCATCATCAGCATGCCACATGCCGATATTGTCAAACTAATTAAAGACGCTGGATTAACGGTCACGCTGCACATCATACCAGAGGAAGGTGAGTGGAAACTGTTAAATCAGGACTTAATCTGTTCGTCGGGGTCTTTTGGAATCTTTGAGTGCTCATGTAGGAATATTATACACAGATTTGGCCACTCAGGTTTGTGTCTCACCTCCTGTCAATCACAGGCTCCCAATCTGGACCGAACTCAGAGAAACACAGCCCCCAGACCCAGCCCAACCCTGTAGCCCAGCCAAGCCAAGGAGGCGCCCAGTCAGGCCAAATGGCTCCTCAGTCGGGCCAAACGGCCACTCAGCCAGGGCAAGCGCCGGCCCAGCCTGGCCAGACACCAGCTCAGACAAACCAAATGGTGACTGGGCCTCCAGCACCAGCAGCCTCCCAGCCCGCTCCAGCTGGAACCCAGCAGAACCCCATCACCCAGACTCCTGGCATCCCTCCGCAGCTCTATCTTCACGACGGCAGGTGAGACAATACAGAGAATTGTTCGGGTTTGGTTTGCTCCTCCTAAGATCCAAAACGTGCACTGAGTTCTTGGCTCGACAGGAAAACCTGCAACTGCAGATCGTTTGAGTCCTGGTCAGACTCTTGGCCTCAGGTTGGTCCGGTTGCATAACACCACTTAGCGCTTTGAGTGTCTGTGAATAATTTACCATATGGCCTCTCTTCCATAATTTAGGAGCTCAGCAATCAGAGCCTGTTACGTGTCAAAACTATGAAAGTGTGAGCTCTTACTTTGATAGGCGTATATATTTCAGTTTAAGACACCTGGAGACTCGCTCTCAGACCTGTGGATTTATACCCATTGTTCAAGTGAGAACCTGATAAAAGCATTCAGACGTGGAGCTGATGTTTTCATCCCGTGTGTAAAATCCCAGTGACTGACGCGACCTTCAGATTGTCATCCACTCTGCCTGTACACAAGCAGTAATCCTCCGTCAGTATTCTAAGTTCAGTGTTACTCTAAAATAAAGACATTCACACGTGTTCCTAATCGTTTCTTGACTTTTTGTCTGATTTCAGGTCAGAGGTAAAAGCAAGGCAGGACGTCAAGCCTGACTTCCGTCATCCTCCGTTCACTGATTATCGGCAGCCTCCTGTTGACTACCGTCACCCACCGGTGACTGATTATCGCCAGCCGCCCACGCTGGACTACAGACACCCCCCTGGCCTGCTGGACTTCAGGCAGCACCCTGCAGCTGCTCAGTTTCCTTTGGGAATCCCAGCGGACTTCAGACCGCAGGTTGAACACACTGTCTTCTGTTGTATGCAGATAAATTAATCCCAGTCATTACTTTTGGCATGGAGTTAATCTGAGTCTTCGTTTTGATCTGCAGGACTACGATTACTTCACGGTGGAGCTGGAAAAAAGCACAAAGGGGTTTGGGTTCAGTATCCGGGGGGGCAGAGAGTACAGCATGGACCTGTTTGTGTTGCGGCTTGCAGAGGATGGCCCTGCAATACGAAACGGAAGGATGAGGGTGAGAACTGTGGCTGGTAAAGATAAATTATAGAGATTAGGGATGCACGATATTGGATTTTTGGCCGATATGTTAAAACTTATTGGGCCGAATACCGATACAGATATTTCTCCCCCAAGACCTACTTACAGAGACTACATAGCTTTCTCTGCTGTAGGATTAAAATACTACATTATTCTGCATGCTCTTTGTCAATTTCGCCTGCTACCAAATGCAGATGCCAAAAAGGGGGATGAAAATGATGTAACACTTCAACATGGATTATGTTTAATGTCAAATTTATCCATGACATTTACTCTCTCTAACACAATGACAACACTCAAACAGTGCAAATGTGTAAATGTTCACAAATGTAAACTCAATGGCGCGCGTGATGTCATAACGTGCTGGCGCTGCAGGCATCCTTATCACTGGGTTGTCATACAAAAACAGCACTATATATATATATATATATATATATATATATATATATATATATATATAATATAAAGCAATGCCTTTTATATCAGTGAGTTATTTTGATGGAATGGCCAATGTCCGATATTTAACTTTATCGCTAATATCATCCAATACCGATATCATGCCGATAATATTGTGCATCCCTAATAGAGATATTTGAAAACAGACAGAAAGATGTGATAACCTTTGTTTCTTGAAAACAAATTTGGCTTCACAGAATTTGTCTAAACTAAACAAAGATCCCTGCTCTGGTACATTTAACATCTAAAACATAAAGTATTTAATATTTACTTCAGTAAACTGATATGTTTCTTAAAGGTACTCATTATAAACCATCAAGTAAAACATGAAGAGGTTATCCTGAACTTTACTGTATGCTGCAGTTTAAAATCATTAGCTTCAGTAGTTTTCCAGATATACTCGTGCACGTTTATGAAATGTGGGTACGTACTCGATGTAAACAAAGCACTTTAATCTGCGTACTTTACTCAACAAATCTGAGCATAAATACCTCCCCCGGACAAACAGGCTGACTGAAGTCCACCTTGTGTGTCTCCTCCAGGTGGGCGATCAGATCATAGAAATTAATGGAGACAGCACTCGGGACATGACTCATGCTCGCGCCATCGAACTCATAAAGGCAGGAGGCAGGCGGGTCAGGCTGCTGCTGAAGAGAGGCACAGGCCAGGTGCCAGAATATGGTGGGTTTTATCTTCGGCACAAACAAAACCCTCAAACTGTCGCCCTTCTGTTATTCAATAAATGGTCAGCTTTACAGATTTTTAACCAGGCTTACTTTCCCTTGATATTTTACTCTGAAACATATTAACATCCATAAATGTCTTTCCACATTTCTTCTTCTTCTTCTTGCTTTTTATTTTTTTGTCACCTGAAATCAATCTCGTCTGTTTTTAATCAAACACGTAACAACCTGTTCTGAGGTCTTCATGTTTTGTAGCCGCTCTGCTTTAAGTCTAATGATCGCTATAGGCTTTTACTTGCCTTCCTTTAGGAATGGTACCTTCCAACCTCTCCATGTGCATGAAAGGTGACACACTAAGCTCCCCCTATTTCTTCTTAATGGGCCACTCTAAAGACACGGTTTGTGGAAAACTGCATGCCTTTCTCTCCATACTGATTAATCTGTGTGTTTTCTGCATGCAGTTTACAGTGTGTGGTCATTTCTGCATGGGTGGAATAACCCAGTTTGAATCTTCTGTTTGTATGCTGTGGTAAGAGAGCGATATGGTTTGAAGAGAAGCTGTAGATGAAGCTGATTCATGGAGGAAGATTGTGTGGAAGCCATGTTTCCTAAGCTGCTTAGGATCAGTGAAGTCGAGAGGAAATTTGTGCATGCACGTTTGCCTGGTTTGAGCTAGACTTTGACGTTTCTGATCAAATTTTTAATTTATTTTTGCTTGTGCATGTTTGTGCTCTTCTTTTGACCTCAGATTTCTTAAGGTTCTCTTTTTGTCCTCTTGATAGACTGTGCCGGCCCCTGGGATTCCCTTTCTACAGCCCACTCTGCCCTGCAGGAAGTGACGGTGGAACCTCATCTGAGTCCTCTGCTCCCATCTCATCCAGCTTCAGCCCCTGAATCCCCTCATCGACTCCACCCAGAGGCCAAAGTGTGCACGGCAGACACCGCTCCACTGCTGACAGACCACAGCTCCATTAGAAGGGCTGCAGGTGGCAGGTCCACCGAGCAAACATGCATCACAAGGGGACAGGGGGCCGCGCAGTGGTCTGGAGAGGCGACTCGTGGTGAAAACCAGCTCCGGGCTTTGCCTCCCAAAGCTGTTGTGGGGCGGTGTAATGAGAGAAGGGAGATTTGCTCCCCCTGCTGTGAGAGAAAGGGCCGACAAACACAGGCGGCGAGCTCCGTTACGCCCTGGGACCCCTACGTGACCGTGGACCTGAACGGAGCGACTCCTGGAGGGGGGGACGGACACGTGAGCCTCCAGGAGAGGCTGAAGAACAGTGGGCTTCGCTGCCCCGTGAAAACAATTGAAGACCCTCCAGCGAGGAGCGCAGCGGTCTCCCCGGGACCCTGGAACGTCCCCGGCTCTGACAAACTGCCTGGCACCTTACGGTCCTGGACCTCCACGGTAAGCAGGTAGAACGGCTCGAACTGGTTCGGACCGGATCATTGTTCTAGACCAGAAAAGCATCTCTTGGCCTCTCCGTCCTGTTTCTCTCTTCCATCTCTCGTCTCCTTTATAAAGGATTATTACACCTGCCACCTTAACGAACAGGGCAACGTGCAGAATATTAACCTGATGAAGGCCCTCACATGTTCTGACCGGAGCCAAAATGTCTCGTTGCACCTTTAACACTCCACTGCATCTGGACTGGTTCAACGCGGCTGAAGAAAGAAAACATGCCGAAGCGCAAGCGATTCACTTTTGCTCCATTTCTCTGTGAAAATGAAAGATTTATCGTTGTGTCGGATGGAGGCGGCGCCGCTGAAACTGCAGTCACAGCTCTACATACGCTACATGCCTACGGATATATTACATACTGTAATTACAAAGATGTGAAAATTATGTACATTTGGTAAACTTAAAAAAAAAAAAAAAGTCGCCTGTTGGGTGCTTTTGTTTGTTTGGAGGCAGTGTTGTAGTTAGATACATTGTACAAATTTTAAAAAGTAAAAAAAAAAAAAAAGAAAGAGAAACTGCTCCAAGACAGAATTTTATTTTATTTTATTTAGTTTTTCCCAGTCAGCTTAGTAAGAACTCGTACTGGTACCTCCATCACTTCAACCATGCAGAGTTACAAGCTGTGTGTATTCATTCAACTCCCAACAGGAAAACTTTGTCCAGTCTATTTCTATGCCTTTTTACTGTGCTAAGTGTACCACATCACTGTGGGAGCGGGAAGAGGAGCTCACTGGTTCTGAGGCGAGGCGGAGTGCCTTACTCAAACTGATGCAGAGCTGTTGCCACTTGTTTTTAAGGGAAATCGGCGATGACGCACACGTCAGCCAAACCGCTGAGCTGTGGAGTTTGTAGACGTCCAGCAGTTTGTACATCTTGATGCACTCAACGTTCGGAGGGGAGGGACAAATGTAGCCTGTAGCATCACATCCTCTTCTCGAACTAATGTCGAGGTTTGTCAGGACCACGAGTGGACCACGGTTCATGTATTTTACTTTTATCCGTTCTGTAGGAACACGTTTGCCAGCGTCCATAACATCTGAATCCGAGGTTTTAAACGATCGGCGAAACTGGAAAAGGTTAATTTCGTTTGATCAGATCTTGGGTCGTATTAAACTGAGACGCTCCAGGTGGAGTCGCTCTCCAGGATTTCTCCATCCAGATGCCCTTCACCATTTGCAACGACCCACCAGCCTTTTCGAGGACCACATCGTGACTCTGTCTGCATCACCAGGACTGATTTGTATTTGCAGTAAAATGACAATTTCAAGAAGAACAAACTGGTCTGCCATGAAGACTTGTTGCCAGGTTAGCAAAGGACGTGTCCGTAGGCGGTAGAAATGTGTTTACTGTGGGTACAAATATCAGCATTTAGAAAAGTCATCCATCAAGGCCGCCCCCATCCCCCCCCGCCTGCCTGCCGGGACTGGTTTTATACACAGAAACAACAAAAGAATCTGCGTTGAGCCTGTGAAGGACGGTATGTTCATACCCCCCCCCCCCCCCATTTGAGATCCAGTATAATTGTGTAGTGTTGATTGTGTAATATTCACCTTGTACAGCTGTATTCCTACAAATATGGTTTACTGTATCATTGATACTGTAGTTTCAAAGACGTGAACAACTATTTTTATGAAATGCGACAGTACTGATATATTACATTTTGCTAAAAAAAATAAAAAACTTGTTTACTGAAAGATATTCTGAAATACTGTCAAATAAACTCTTGACATGGTGTAAAAATATTCTTTTCTAGAGTCTTTTACTTGAACAGTTCTGGTGACTAAACCTCAGATGTTCACTTCAGAATATTTTTTGTTTAGAAATGTGCATTTTTTTTTTTAAACTAGGATTAAAACAAGTGTTTAGAGCCTTGTACATCTTCCACACGTCACAAAAGCTCTTCCAGAGCTCCGTAACTGGAATGAGCCCAAGTTAAACATCACAGATGTGTCATTTATCAGAATAAGTTGATGCAACCAAAATTAAGAGGAAGAATGGATCATCAGGCTGAAACTGAATCACTGAACACAGCAGCATCTTTAAATGACACCCCGCACCGTTTATTTCTTTTTCTCAGTTCAGACATTTCAGTGTAAAGTTTCAGGTCGTCAGACGATGAACACAAGATTCTGAAGAAGTTCAGCTGTTTTAAATGTACATCTAAAACTAAACTGTGACGTCGAGAGGTCAACTGTGCACCTCAAATTAGACTAAATAAATAACTGGGGGGTGTAAAATAAGCCCACTGGAACCATCAGTGTGGACATTTTCAGAGCAGCTTCCCAGTGACGAGAACAGAAAGTTGGTATTGGTGGAGGTAATGATGAACCGTCACGTCTCGGAGCCACCAAAGTTTTAGAAGATTCCAAAACCGGGTCACAGTAAACATTTTGCCGTCATCGTTTGTGGGTCAGAATGAGAGCGGTGGTCTCATTACTGAGAGTAATCTCCTGGAGGAAGCACAGATTGACCACCTCCCTGTGCGGTCAGAGAATCCTTCAGAAAGAGGGGGGGAGGGGGGGGACTGTTAGTAAAATCAAAAGGAGAATAAAAAAAGTTACATTTTTATTACAGATACCAACGAGGCTCGCTCTTACATTCAGACGGCTGTAGGCTCCCAGTTGGAACTTACAGCAAATGACATCAACCAAGAATCCCACCATGCTGTGGATCATTCCTGTGAAGAAACAGAGTCAGCTGAAACATCTGTGCACATCTGGAGGGAAACCAGACAAACTGAAGAAATGCTTTGATTATCAGATACGTTTGTTTTCCTTTTATTTGACAGATGTATCGAAGTGGCACTCTTCACTTCAAAGCAGATGAATAATATAAAGCGTCATTATTATTATTATTTTTAGGCTTTTGTTCATTTTTCCTGCTGATTAAAAGAATTTCATACAAAGTCACAGTTTCTAAAACATAAACCTCACACTTGTCAGTAACTCGTTATGTTTGGAAACACCTCGCCTTACTAATTGAAAATAACTCCGTAATTCTGGTGAATTTTTGCCGTTTTTAAAAATACATCTTTGTCTTGCATCTCGTTTCAGGTGCAGGTTTCAATTCGTTTTCCATCGTTACATCGATTAAATTTTAGATCAATATTTTACTAAAAAGATCAAATACTCTGTTCATAACTGCATTATTATATGTATTATACTGAACAAAATAAATAAACGCAACTTTTGTTTTTGCTCCCATTTTTCATGAGCTGAATTCAAAGATCAGACTTTCTACGTACACAAATGACCTTTTCTCTCAAATATTGTTCACTGGTGTAAATCTGTGTTGGTGAGCACTTCTTTGCAGAGATAATCCACCTCACAGCTGTGGCATATCAAGATGCTGATTAGACCAGGATTGATGAAAAAGACACTCTAAAATGTGATTTTCCTGTATTGGGGAGGTCAGAAAACCAGTCAGTATCTGGTGTGACCCCCATTTGCCTGGGAGCTGTGGTAGCTCGGTGGTCAGTGCTACGGTCTTGTAATCCTGAGGTTGCAGGTTCTAGCCCAGGTTGCGTCAGGAAGGGCATCCAGCGTAAAACAAATTGCCAAATCATTCATGTGAGTTTGCTTGCTGTGGTGACCCCTGAAGACGGGAGCAGCTGAAAGAAACGACCCAGTGCAGCACATCTTCATAGAGTTGATCAGGTTGTTGATGCCTGTGGAAGGTTGGTCCACTCTTCAGTGCCTGTGTGAAGTTGCTGGATGTTATCAGAAACTGGAACATGCTGTTGTACATGCCGACCCAGAGCATCCAAAACATGCTCAGTGGGTGACGTCCAGTGAGCATACTGGCCATGAGACTGGGATGTTTTCAGCTCCCATGAATTGTGTATAGATCCTTGCAACATGGAGCCGTGCATTATCATGCTGCAACATGAGGTGATGGTTCTGGATAAACGGCACAACAACAGGACTCAGGACCTCGTCAGTGTCTCTGTGCATTCAAAATGCACCTGTGTTCGCTGCCCACACCTTAACCCCATCGTCACCATGGACCACGCAATTCACAACGTTGTTATCAGTAAACCACTCACCCACGACACCATACATGCAGCCTGCCATCTGCCCTGTACAGTGTCAACTTGGATTCATCTGTGAAGAGAACACCTCCATCGTACCATACTCCCATCGAATGTGAGCATTTGCCCACTCATGTCTGTTATGATGACCTGCAGTCAGGTGGAGACCCCGATGAGGATGTCGAGCATGCAGATGAGCCCCCTGAGACAGTTTCTGACAGTTTGTGCAGAAATTATTTGATTATGCAAACTGATTGGTGCAGCTCCTATCCAGGTGGCTGGTCTCAAGATGATCTGAAGATGTTGGATGTGGAGGTCCTGGGCTGGTGTGGTCGTACGTGGTCTGCGGTTGTGAGGCTGGTTGGATGTACTGACAAATTCTCTGAAACGCCTTTGGAGGCGGCTTATGGTGAAGAAAGGAGCATTGAATTCATGGGCAACAGCTCTGGTGGACATTCCTGCAGTCAGCATGCCATCTGCACGCTCCCTCAAACCCTGCAACATCCGTGGTGTTGTGCTGTGATAAAACTGCACATTTTACAGTGGCCTTTTATTGTGGTCAGCCTAAGGCTCACCTGTGAGGTGGATGGATTATCTTGGCAAAGGAGAAGTGCGCACTAACACAGATTTGCACAAATTTGTGAACAACATTTGAGAGAAAAAGGCCTTTTGTGTAAGTAAAGAAAGTGAGATCTTTGAGTTCTGCTCATAAAAAATGGGAGCAAAAACAAAAGTCTTTATTTGTTCAGTGTATTTAGCTCTAATGCTCAGACATAAACTTAAAAATAAACATTTTAAAATGTTAAAAAAAGGAAGTAGCATTAAAAAGGAATTTGGCCAAAAAATACATAAAAAAAAAACAGCAATTATTTTAATAATTCTAGGCTAATAAAACAAATGTGTATTACTTTACAGACCTGTCGTGGAGAAAATGCCTCCGATGATGCCGCAGAGTCTCACAAGAAACTGCCAGAGAGGCATGTGCTGCTCGGTGACTTTGACCATCAACGAGCTGATATCGTATTTCATAAAGATCCCTGAGACTCCATGGCTGCCTGCAGCGTGGTTTATCGCTCGTTCCTGCAGAAAAACAAGAATACAAACATTAATCACCGTGACACTGACTCAACCGCTCATATACTGCGTTTAAAAACGTACACGCTCTGTGACCGAGTACTGATGTGTTTCTGCAGACAGTCTGTAGGTGTTCAGCTTGGTGGGCACAATGGTGATGAAGTACTGAAACATGTGGTTAGCTAGAGACAAAGAATCAAAAGAAACCACAATAAATTTTAACACATTACAAACAAAGAAGTAATAATTGTCTTTTTACTGCCAGAGATCAGAAAAATTGTCTTAAAATCCTTTCTAAGAAGCTCAAAACTGAATCGTAAAACTGCCCGTTCGTTTGACAACACGGACGCACAATCAGGGGCGATTTTCTCCGTGCCGTCCAGAGGGTTGATAAGTCCAGGAATGGCTTCTCCAAAAGACAGGTGGTCAATCCGGTGGGAGAAGTTGTAAGCTGAAACACAACAAACCGAAGTGATCAGCCTCAGCTGAATACGTTATGATGACAGCCATGTTTACAAAATATATGGAGTTGTCAGAAAGATAATCTCACAGTCGTGGCTAACCAATGCGGCGAGATGAGCATGACCTCTGGGGTGTGGGATGGACCTGCACAGGAATCAAAAGGTCAGACCTTTATACAGATGAAATATTATCCACAAGCTGCAGCTCAAATCAACAAGGGGACAAACGCTGAGTCTAAAGTATTAAAATATCGTTGGAAACAATTTACAAGTACATACTTGCCAACAGTAATGTGGAAATTTCCTGCCACTTTGTTGACATAAAGGTGACCGTGGATCCTGCAGGCAGTGAGGGAACTGGTGCTGTCCTCTCTTAAGGAAGAAGAGAAAACAAAGGTGCTCACAACTTCCAGGTTTTATCGTGTTTTTTTCTACAGATCAACTTAAAGTGCTCACCTGTGACTCGAAGCAGGAGGAGGTCCCTTCATTGCCGTCTTGAAGAGCACGTCCTGCAGAGAGTGCTCCACTCTCAGACGCTCCTGAATGTGTAGAAGAGTCCTGACGGAGGAGAGGAAAACATAAAGATAACTGCATGAGATTAAATCAATTCAACAGCTTTTTAAAACAGGTTTATGGTTAGTGCTTTGACCATTTCCTTCAAATTTTTGCTTGAGTGTACTTTTGACATATGGCATGTAATAAATAAGTAACGCAGGGATGATGGTTCATTTGAATCTTACATGTGCCACAGTCGTTGCTCTGGCGGTAGCTCAAAGTTAACCTAAAAATCAAATTAAAAATACCCGTCAGCCTAGAACAAAGATGTTTCGATATTGTAAAATACAGCATAAGGTTTATTAATTAATTTTTAAAAATCTCACACGCACTGGTTCATATTTTAAACCATCAGAGGCGACCATGGTCTCTGCCAGATCCAGAACATCTGCACCGATATCTGTATTAAACCAGAAACCACAGTTAAAAGCATAACAGTCCATATTAAGTCAAGCTTAACTAGCTTAAAATAATCACTTTGTTTTATTTTAATAGAGAATGATTCTCCATGAGGAAAAACTATTAGATATAAAGATTTTTTTAATAGAATACAATCACTCCTACAGATTCTAACAAAGACTTATTATAGGATTTTAAAAGTTAGCTGTGTGTTGTTCCTTAAAGACTAAAATGCATCTTATTAAAAATGGGTTAATCATTAAAATATCTACAATTTTATGTTACATTTTGAATATATTTACATACAGAATCATATATGGTTTACAAACTTTGTGCTGAACTTTAAAAGAGCATAACCGTGACACTTTTTGTTTGGACAGTGGAAATTTACAATTCAAATTATTTCTACTTAAAAAAATTATCTGATTAAACGGGCCATCTCCCCCTCACACACACACACACACACACACACACTTAAAACAATACGTACACAACATTACTGAGCAGTTCATCTGACCCTCAGACACACTCATTAATAAAACAATGGTCAGTTTAACCCATTTTCTGTAAAAGCGCTCATAACATGAAAAAAAAATTAGTCATGGAGCAAATATGTGAACTTTTTTGGTCACAAAATATTGTTCCACCACAAAACTAAACCCTAAACTAAAACGGTGAATTAAATTAAATGGTTTAATCATGTAGGGTGGCATGCTGGTACAGTTGGTAGCGCTGCCGTTTGTTGCTCAAATCCCAGCCGGGGGCTTTTCTGGGTGGAGTTTGCACGTTCTCTCTGTGCATGTGTGGGTTTTCTCCGGGTACTCCGGTTTCCTCCCACAGTCCAAAAAACATGCATGTTAGGCTGATTGGTAACTCTAAATTGTCCCTAGGTGAGAGTGATAAGAGTGAATGGCTGTTTGTCTCGTTTGTCTCTATGTGTCCCTGTGATGGACTGGAGACCTGTCCAGGGTGTCCCCTGCCTCTTGTACAGTGATGGCTGGACATGGGCACCAGTGACCCCCATGACCCGATAAGGAAGAAGTGAGTAAAGATAATGGATGGATGGTTTAATCATGTTAGTCTGGCCATTAAGTTTTGGTGTACTGTACTTACACTGGCATCTCATGGCCACTGTGATGTCCACATTTATTTTAAGTTTGCTGTAAAAAAAAAAAAAAAAAAAAAGTTAGTTAACTTGGAACATAAAAACAAACCCACTTTAAAGTTGTCTGAACTTATTTTCTACCTGCTGAAGTCTTTGTCCACCTCATATTCATACTTCATCCATGTGTTTCTGTACACAAAGAACTCCAGGAAGGCCAGGACAGCCATGAAGGAGAAAGCTATCAAAGACACTGTAGGAAGTGGAAGTTTAATGAGAGTTTGTAAATGAAAGTTAGAAAAAAAGGTCGGTTTGATTTGTACCCACCAGTCCCACCGCTGGCTGTGGACTCCACATAACTCTCGGGCACTTTAGGAAAAGCGTCCAGCTCCTTCACCAGAGTCAATGCCTTCTTCTTCGTGAGTCTCCTCATCCTGGGACCATCAGCCTAAACACTAGGCTGTTAGCTAGCTAGCCGTGGTGGGGTACATTTAGCCGACAGTTACCATGACAACCGCACGAGCTAAGTCATTATGAGCGTTAGCCACGTTAACCGGTTTAAAACGCGAAAACGAACTAACGTCAAAAGTAAATGGGCTAAGATTTTGAATATCTAAGTTATTTCTGTTCTCTCCCGTGTCAGGAAGTCCGCACCGAGAAGGAAGTTACCTGGAAATAAAATGTTTCGCTGTCGTATTGTTTAACTCCTTCGTGTCCAGTAAACTCATGCTGTTGAGTGTTGGCGCCATCTAGCGGTGGATTAAAAACCCAAACCTGGCAAAACTTTGGAATGACTTTTCAACTAGACTGAGATCTGACTACTTGCAGGCAATGTCATTGACATATGTCTTTCATAGAGGAAAGTTTTCCTTTACCCCGTGGTAAGATTCAAAATCATCCTGAAAACTCAAGTCTTCTAACATCTTTTACAACAAGTGTCCCAAACTATAATGAGGACTGAACCTGACATGCAGGTTTATATCATTAATGACTGCGGGGAGCTATGTTTTTATCAGTCATCTTCATAAATGTCTGTTTTGTTGTCTTCTGTTTACTTTTATGTGTTTAAATCACAGTATCTTAGGTGATTTCTTCAGTCACAGATATTGACTCGTTTTCAACATTTTTTTTAAATACATTTTTGTGCATTTTCTGCTTTCAAGACATTTTGTTATAATTTTTTATCTTGCCACCTTCATGACTGCTCAACAAGTATGCTTCCCTTTTACAATCTTCCCATTTTGTTTGTATTTGGTTCAGATTTTAGACACAGCTGGCTCGGAGCAGCCAACATCTTTAGCAACATTTCATGATGATTTAACTTCTTAAAGTTGACATCTCTGATACTGAAGCCTAAATTCATGTTATTCTGCTTTGTGCAACAGCTCTCCAAAGTGTGAGCACTTGTTTAACAGACTAATTTGCCAATTTAATCTTATGCAGGTGTTTGTGAGCGATTCTGCATTTTTTCTTCTATTTGATCTGAATAAAGCAATTGTGACTGGCTGCTACAACCGTCTTCATTTTAGTGTAAATGCTGATAAATGTAACATTTATGTCTTGTAGATTCTTTATTACAAGTTCAATTTAAAGTTGATATGAAAATACACTAAAAAATTGGAATTTTTGTTTACTTTTCAAACATTTACAGTATGAGTAAACATTTTTGAAGGCATTAAGAACCTCACTGCCAGCTCTTTTAGTAAATGGGTTCACTAGAGGTATTGGGAGGCTGAAGAATATTAATGGTGATAAACCAAGCACAGGTCAAATTAACAGTCATTTACTTAGATTCAGGTAGAGAAGATGAGAATTTGTGCATTTTAATTATATCATATAAGAAAATTTCTGTTCTCAGTCAAACAAAAACAACATGTAAACATGCCAACAGTTACATAATTACTTGAACACTTTTGCTTAGATTCACCATGAGTAAGATACACTGAGATACCTTCAGCTTCAAGTATTTTGGGTATGATTTAGTTGCTGTGAAGATAAGACAAGTAACTGTCAAAAAAGTAAAATATTCTCCCAGGGTTCATGGACAGCTCTAACATCAAGCATCTTAAATAAACGGATTACACCCATTAAAGCAAATATTACAGAAGTCAACCTTCACTCACATTTACAACATGCCTGCTGCTAAAGGACTTTTAGTTTGAAGCTCAGTTTTAGGCAACAGAAATCCATCTGCAAACAGTCTACTCTGCAAGTACAGAGTCAGGACCCTCATCCCGTAGGACCGCTGTCTCTAAGACGTCAGAGGTCGGCGTGCCAGCCGGCTCCTGAGAGAGATCCTCAGAACACCGGCTCACAGTGGGAGAGATCACATCGGGACTCGTGTCACAGGACTCTGTGCTATGCTCTGACGTGGCTGTTGTGGCTATTGTGGCAAAACTTGGAGGGATTGGGTCAAAATCATCATCGTCATCATCCAAAATGGGCGACTCGTGGACACCTGTCAATTTAAAAAAATGCATTTATAGGAATGGTTTTAGTGAAGCTAAATATGTTTAATGAAAAGCAACAAAAACTTACAAGTTTACAAGTTAATAGATTAGGCAAATAACATCCTATCATTTCAACGATCAGTTTACGTGTTTGAGATGGGGGCAGGTGTCCACGAGTCGCCCATTTTGGATGATGACGATGATGATTTT